CCCTCTCTCTCTCTCTCTCTCTCTCTCTCTCTCTCTCTCTGGCTCTCTCTCTGGCTCTCTCTCTCGCTCTCTCTCGCTCTCTCTCTCGCTCTCTCTCTGGCTCTCTCTCCCTCCCATGAACCCCCTCCAAACATCAATCATACCAAACCCCAATACAGACCTGGTACAGTTCTCAATGCAAGACCTTCCGTCTGCAGCCAGGTAGAAGTGCTCTGGACAGCCGCAGACAGCTTCCACCTCATGACCGTGGGTCCCTGGGCGCAGCAGGCAGAGCTTGTCACAGTTCTTGTACTCGCACGGATTTTTGCCAAACCTGTCCACAACTGCCAGGGTAGGGTGAGGGTTGGGGGAGGAAACAAAAAGTTATCATATTCATTAACAGCACAGAATGACACAGTTAATTTCGTTTTGTTTTCACCAGAGTTTTACGGCACTTGCAAACAAAATTAGGTCATATGAGTGCTGAAGATTAGAGGTATTACTAGAGATATCATACAAAGGAATGAAAGAGGGGAGATAATGACAACAGATGTTTGATGTGAAAGAAGGAGCAAACCACACAAGAGTGCTCGCCAACCACTGACTATGACACAGAAGTAGGACAGCTACAGCTGGACAAGGCAGGGTGTTGCAAATTAAGGACCAGATATTTTTTTTAAAATCTAGTAATCTCACCAGATTGAGATGAACAGTCAAAACAATTTTACAAATGTAAGATCATCATCTGCCAATATACCCACTGGGTCTGTCACTTAAAAGGTAAAAAACATGCGGTCCAATATTTCCCTTACTCCGAGTGTTTTTGGAAAAGTATTATCTCTAAAAGGAAATCCTTCTTTGCCCTACATTAGAGGGAGGGTCTGTCAGACGCTCACCCAGAGCCTTTAGTTTTAGTGTTACAGCACTTGCAACATAATCAGATCATTTTAAAGCCGAAGATTAAAGGTGTTACTACTAGTAACAAACCAAAAAAAAAAGGAAGAGGAGAGATAAGACAAGTAGACTGTTTGATAGGAAAGAAAGAGCAAACCACACCAAAGCATCTGCTAACCAACCACTCACCTGGAGCCTGTCGAAGTGGGTGGACGATCTGGATGTCCATGGGCCGGTCCTGTACACTGACCACCTTAGAAATATTGGCGTTGGTGTCAGTGTAGACAGGTGCAGTCAAGACACTTTTGCTCTCCCAGTCTGTCCAGTACAAAAAGCCTGCAACAAGCAAAATTCAAGAACAGCTGTCAGGACATACGAAAAACATGACAAGGGAAATATAGACCCACTTTGGAAAATGGGAGATGGAAGGGAAACAGAAGATACAAAGTAAATAAAATAAAATAATTAGGGTACATAAATTTACCAAACAATTTCAAATCCAATTTGCATATTACAATCCCATCTGTGAAAGAGTTAAAAAACAAAATAACACCCCATCCCCACTTTCAGTCATCAGGTCCAACAACTGCAACCTATTACACAGAGGTACACATAAATAGGCTAAACATCAGAGGGAGGCCTAGGAAAAAAACATGCAACTACTCTCTCACCTTGGAATGTAGTCAGTGCAAAAATATGCGGTGTCCTGCGGTTATTCCCAATGACCTGCGGATTGCTACCGTCCAGTTCAGCCATGCCGATGTAGTCGAGGTTTCCGTCGCCCCAGAAGATCTTCTCCGTGATATAATCGATGGTGAGCGCATTGGGCCAGGCGATGCTCTCATTGATGATCTTTCGCATACCCGTGCCATCCATGTTCAGTCGACCAATGTAAGGGACATCACCCCAGTCCGTGAAGAAAAGGAGACCCTTCTTAGGGAACACCTGCAGACAAAGTCACAGCATGAGACCCCAAGACATGCTCCAGTAAAACTTTCACAACTCACCATCCAATCATTTGGTTTTATCATGACTGATCACAACTTCTTTATAGTCCTCATAGCATGATTTTAAAAACTGGTTAGTTGTTATGTTGTTTTCAATCCAGAAAACTGGTTAGATTTTCTGACAACCATGTATACATCATACATAGAATAGTTTGGAGCAGAAGAAGCAAGTGGGAAAAAAGCTGGAACAAGAGTGCAGTCCTCAAGAAATAGTTTGAGCAATGGTCACTAAAAAGGTGATGTCATGAACCCCTTGATTACTGACCTGACCAACAGATTTACATCCAGCTTAATTTTCAAGTCATCTGTTATCATATAATGAAAACTGCTCCCTTCAAAATCAGATTAATTTATGTACATCATCGGTAAGCTGTTCAAATATTCAAAGCCAAAAAAGGGTTGTTTCTTTTTTGTTGTTCTTTTTTTTAGGAGAGAGGAAAAACTTTTTCATTATTTTAGAAATTGTAAGGCCTACCTACAATATGTATCTCCTTTCGTTTTTTGGGGGGTTTTTTAACATCTCAACTTGACTCTTGCTTAAGAGACTAGCACAAAAAAGAACAGAGCAGGAGATAATAATAGAGTGAGAGTAATTGTTTTAAACACTTAGAGAGCTCATGGTTTACGTGTGTTTTTTATTTAGTAAGCATTTTCCAGCACTTGCAACACAATTTGGTCACATTAGTGCAGAAAATTAGGGGTTACTAGAGAGTAGCAAACACAAAAAAAGAAAGAGAGATAAAGATGATAGATGTTTGATAAGACAGAATAAGCAAACCACACCAGCACACCCGCCACCGACTGGTTTATGTGTGACATCCCACTTGTGAGAAGTTTCAAGTCCTGTTGGTGGAACAGGGCACTATTAACATTTCTCAGCCCCCTCAACATCAACACCTGCAGGTGGTTGGCATGTTCTCCTGTGTTGTTTGCTCCTTCTTTTCAATCAAACATTTATCATCCTGATCTCTCCTCCTTTTCTGTGTTTGTTACTCTCTTATTATGCCTCTAATCTTTTGTCTTACTAACACTAAAAACATCAATATCTCTGATTCCCTTCCACAAATTTTAATAGCAAAAGTGGCAGTAGTTTTGAGCACAAAATCGGAAAAAAAGAGTTTTCTTAACTACAAAAAACTTTCAGGTGACAATAAATTACCTCTAGGGCTCGCGGCTCATTAAGTCCTTCTCGGAGCAGAACTTTCCGGTACCTTCCATCCAGCTGGGAGACTTCAATGGTATCTGTGTTCTTGTCGCACCAGTAGAGGTTGCGGCCAACCCAGTCTACAGCCAAACCGTCAGGATTACGCACTGTGGTGCTGTGCAGAGACTTCACCTC